CCGTGCAATGCCAGGGAAGCCTCCGCCACAACAACACCTTGCCAACCTGTTGCAAAGATCCATGGCACGAAGAAGCATTGCTCCGTTGGCCTCCGCCGCTTTGCGTGCAGCAGCCGTGATTGCCTCAAAGGGCCATGCAAGAAATGTCAATATCCAATTGCATCCCGAGGAAGCGGCTGCTGCTGTAGCTTGATCCTCCTCACAGCCGGCACCGGCAGATCCGACCGCAGCCATCACATCACGAGCGACGTTCGTGGCAGACTGCCTGCAACCGCAAAACGCGCCCACCGTGCTTGGGCAGCTTGTTCACAGCTGGAAGCTTGGGACGAGGAGGCTGCCACGATACTTGCCTGCTGCGTGCGCTACGCTCCGCAACGGCCGCTGAAGCTGCTGCGCAAGCCAGGTCCTCAACATTCAAGGTGAACACTAACACATCAACAAAGGCACCACTACTTACCTTGCACAAACGCTTCCATAACATACCAGGCACGAAAGCTCATGCAGAGGGCCTGGACACAAGAGGCAGCAGACGTCAGGGGACCGAAGCGTGCCCGCTTCTCGACCGCTTCGCACCCCCCCCCCACTACAACCAGATTTGGGCTTTCAAATCGGACCCGATTAATCCAGTGGGCCACGGCCCCAAACCCCGGACAGTGTCTAGGCCTTGGCAATCTCCCGAATTGGTCCTCATTTGGGGGTCCCTCCACTCCTTGCAAAAGTCAGGCGAGGCAGAGTCTGGCATGCAGGGCCGTCTCTGGTACTCAGTATTGTACGCTTGTGCGAGGTGTATGCTGGAACTGGCCCCTCCCTGTCCGCCTCAATCTTAGAAGGGCTGCCTTTTTTTACCTTCCCAACCACACGACCTGGCTCGTCATCCCCTGTTTGCCACCTGCCATGGCCATGCAGATGGCAAAAAAGGGGCCCCTTCCGAAGCTTGTCCTTGAAGGCTTCACATCCCAACCATGCTCTCATGCACCTTGTCACCTTAATCAACAATTTCCAAAATGGCTCCTCAAATCCTGGTATGACTCCGCATCCAAGCTCATCCAAGTTACAGAAACGCTCCCAACCCCCCACAAGCATATCAACTGACTGCAGTGGTTGCTCAAAATGGTCAGACAGGCCTTGCTCCCGATCGGGAAGCGGTCTGCGGATGCCCCCGTCCAGCTGGTGGGAACTTGACATTCACTTGTACTGCTTCCACACTACTTCGGCTCACCATTCGCTTCATGAAAAGCCCTCTCAACGAAAATAACAAGAGTTTCAAACGCATGTTCGCGGCATGGATCTGCCATGAGTGTTGCATCGCGGCAAGATACAATGGGTCCAGATCTAGATGGCTCGAGCGTCCTTGACCACGTCATCGGGGAGGCCGGCTGCTGCTGCAGTCTGCGCAAGACTTATCAACGATAGCATTCCCAGCAAATAGAAGGCAACCCGCAAGCCATGATTTCTAATGCGAGCTCTGCCCAGCCTTGAAGGCAACTTCCCCTACGCGGGCCGGTGCGTGACCCTCTTCCGTAGCGACCTGGCTAAGTCTGCGGTAAGCTTGACTCATGCAGGATTAATCAGTTCGCAGCCTTGGCCAAAGCCTTGGACGCGTAGGCTCCAGCTAATCCTTGGCACGCAGCCGTTCACTTAACTAAGGGACTGACTTACTGCATGTGGTTGTGGCATATGCCACCTTGAATACTTGCAGGGCTTACTTCAACGTCCAAGCATCGCTTGATTTGGCCTTCAGGCATCTTGCCGCCGAACTCGTGTAGCGCGTCCAGCACATTCTGGGCAACCTAGCTAGGCGGGTTCCAGACCAGCTCAGACGGACGCCTCACATGAGGCGCGGCACCTCTTCAGGGGTTCCTCCCCGCTCAGCTGAGCCTTCTGACACTGCCTGCATGCTACCGTGCGGCAGAGCCATGTGAAGTCTTGTTTGCAGGCGGCTGAGTCCGGCACATGTGCCAAGATGCTCATGACTTGAGTGTTTGCGTCTCCGGACCCTTGCAAAGCGATGGCCTGCCGGTTTCTTCTGCAAGCATGGTCATTTTAGCAAGGCCAAACAAGCACCCGGCAGTTCTCGAATGCAAGTCGCCTTTGCAGCTTGGCCGAGATGCTCAGGTGTGGTATCATGGTGCGCAGACATCCTGGGCAGGGGCCACACCTCCACAAAAGCACAGCTCACTTCTTGGAACCGGTGCCTGTCAAAGACAGCCCTGGTGGCAATACCTTAGATCGCCGGTGTCACTTCCTAGGCTTGATTGATACAGTAGCTATAGATACTTACAGGACCTTTTGTGACATCCGTGGTTGGCAAGTGGCTTGGAACCACGGCAGCGCTGGTGGCGCCACTGCTCTCCCAGGCTTCCTGTGCAGCTGCGGCCACCTGAGACGCACACACTGTTCTGCTAAGCGCATCTCGAGCTAATTCTGAAAGGTCATTGAGGACACAAGAGCTCGCGGCCACGGTTGGATTCACATCGGTGGCCTCCGCTGCAAACCTGGATACCAATTGCGGACGCCACTGACTGAGACTCTAATCTGAATGCACCCTTGCCCCTGATGAAGCTTGTGTCAAGGGACTTTGCAGCAGCTGTTGCGGCAGCCTCAACCCACATCTCTTGCGGTTACAGGCCATTGTCAGCGGGCTTTGCGTGTTGCTGACCGGTCTCACTTTTGCGCTGCCCCTGCTGCCAAGCCGCGCTCCCGGCTATGGTCTTGGCACGCTCATCTGCTCCAGCTGCCTGAGAAGAGCAAATCACGATACAAGTTCAAACTAAGAAGGCTAAAGCGCAGTCCACCTCGGCTGCTGCACGGGATGCCAAGCCAATACGCCTTGGAGACAATCTTGTGGCTGCAGCCTCTGCCGCCTGCGTCGCTGTGTTCTGAAGGGATGGACGGATCCCCCCTTTTGAAAGCAAGTTGTCAACATGTCATCCTCACGGCTGCAGCAGTTGGTGCTTGCTGCAGGCATCCCAATGACTTCCTGCCTTGGGACATGCCAGCGTGGCTGCGAGCAAGGAAGCAGCCTGCATGGTGCTGTGGAGGGCTTGTGTTGTGCGAGGAAATCTTTGTGGCTCTGCGTGCCTCGGTGCTAAGTCCGGCAGATAATGCTGCTTTCTTGCATCGCTTGGCCTCAGCGCGCTCTTGAATGAAAGAACGAGTAGCAATTATACAGTAACCTCAAACGACTTACAAGAAGCTGCGATGAGCTGAGTGAGTGTGCGAGCTGAATGGGCCTGCATCCATCCTGCCTGGCCTGTCACACGATATAGGGTAGGCTCGAGCATTCTTGAAGTTTTAGATTGACGCAGTTTTCGATAGATGCCACAGGGTTGTGGAGACTGGCCTGCTCAAGCACCGTCTGTACAAGTGCCTCGGCAGCCAGCCTGTGATGCAACCCCACTAGAGCACCAACTCCGTTGTTGCTTTCAGAATCAAGGAAGCCATTGCACGGGCATGCATCAAAGTTCCATGCGCCTGGAAGCGCTCTTCCCACGAATGCCAGCGCTATGAACGGCAGACACCGTTGCGCTCCCCGCTTCGTCCTGAGTCCGACACGTGCCATGCTGAAGTCGTAAGCCTCTGCAGCCAAAGGCCAGCAACCCAAGGCTGCTGCGATAGATCTGCCCAAAGCCAAAGCCTTTTGGATCTTCTGCACAATCTATCAATGTTCAACAGCCCATACTCACTGTCCCAGACCTGCTTCCCGGCAGCACGAGCAGCGCTCCAGGCAGCGATGCCACGAACCTTAGCAGATTTTTTCATGAAACAAAATAGTGGGGATCAGCGTCCCCAACCTCAGCGGCTGGTGCACCAGCTGCCTCAGCTGATCCCAGCGCTGCGCGAGCCACATCCTGCTTGAGGGTGGCACTGACCAGGCTCTTAAAATCCAGTTCCTGTACTGGTGACTGATGCTTGCCTCGGGCGTAGCTCCGCGCTCTGCAGCTTCCGTGGCAACTGCAGCCTCCACAGCACCAGACCATGCATGCTGGCACGCCTCCTGCTTGTCTGCAGGCATCTTTCAACTCTTGGAATCTCAAGCACGCCCTGCCGAAACTACTTGGCTTCCAACTTTTTAAACAAACAACTGGTGTTCTACGCGCCATGCTACCAGACCGTTGAAAGAAGCCTAGAGTTTGACCGTTTCATCAAGGAACCGCAGAGGCATGGCTGGCAATCCATGCGGCTTCTTCACCGCGACTTCCAGCAGCTCGCGCGCCTGGCGTCATCACTTGTTTGTGATGGCCGTGCGCATGTAAAGTGCTGCACCTTGCAAGGCATGCTTGGCCACGACTTGCTCGGCAAGCGGCTGCAAGCTCATCACTTTCACCTGCCGCAGGAGGCGTTCTGCTGCGCTACAGGCTGTGCTACCGTCAGTTTTGGACGCCAAAACCCTCACATATCAAATGTGTGGATGCCTATGACCTGGCAAATTACAAATGGCAATCCTTCTTGCAATGCGAAAATTCCATTGTCAGCAATTACCGCTGGCAGCAGAAGAAGCCATCCATGCTCCTCGCAGACCCTCATTTGAAACTGCACAAGGCTGATTTGAGATCACTTTCCACACGTTGAGTGGTCTGGCTTGACCACATGCTATCTGCACATCTATTCGCAGGGAATTTGCTGTTGGGCGGATCATGCTACCGCAGCACAGCCACGGCTACGCCCCACTCACTCTGAATTGGTAGCGGCTGGACCCGTTGCCAGGAACCGCTCGCTGCGTCGAATCGCTCCTGAGCTTTGGATTGCCAAGTCGCTGACCTTGTGTGCGGTGGATTGGGCGGCCTTCTAAACTCTGTCGGTCTGGGTCCTCACGCCGTAATCCTGCTCAGGTAGGCGGGAAGTGAGTCGCCCTCGTGTCAGAATCTTGCTCATTGCGCTTCACTCGCACCTCAAGTAGGAAACCAATCCTAGCCTTGAAGTTACGGCTCCTGTGGACTGGACCTTTCTAGTCCCGGAGCTTTACGGAACAGCTACACAGCGTGTGACTGCTAGTGAAGTCAGGAAGCCACGGCAGCGGTGGTCTCGTTGCCATCGAACCCGCCCAGCACATACCTAGAATTGGATCACAATAAACAACAATCACCTAGCAATAGCAAAGTTTTTGGCACCATGGTGCACAGAATCTGCAGCTCGCACAGCGGCCAGGTGCTTGCGAGGAGTTGTTAAGCACGGCAGCAACTCCCAAGCCTCCTCCAGGAATGCAACGGTAAGATGTGTCCAGGAGTCCAGCTGCCCAAACTTACCCGGCTGAACTTGGATCTCATACGAGCTCTTTGCAGAACCGATTCTTGGCGAAACCGCCCTGTCTCCTCGTTGGGGCTGAACCGCTCCACGATTCCCAAAGGCGTCCCTCCATTGTAGCCTATGCCGCGGTGCATCTCCAAGAAGCACAAGGTTTGGCAGACAACACTTTGGTCTGTTTTTTGGGGGGCCCTTGATGTGTTATTCCAGAATGGGGTGTTAGCAGAGTCGTTCGCCATGAGTCGGAATAAGGAGGGTGAGAGTTGGGAACAAGGAGGGCTAGAGTCGGGAAACAAGGAGGCCAGAGTCGGGAAAAAAGGAGGCTAGAGTCGGGAAAAAAAGGGGTGGAGTCGGGAAGGACCGAGGCGAGAGTCGGGAAATGTGGAACCAAACGTCATGTAAATTTACATGATGTTTCCTACCCCAAGATCATGTTGGTAGACTGTTCCTGCGCGGGCACTCCCCAAGCTAAGGTCACTGTCGCGAAGACCAAGGATCCGACATCGAGCTTTCCGAATCGGTGACTTTAGTTTCCCTGCAGCTTTTGGAGCCCCAAAAGAATGAAAGCCGTATTTGCGTGCGTTTGACTGTAAGGTGCTGCAGCACCTACTCGGTAGACCCTACTGAACTTTTGTAAGGCCTTAGCTTTTGGCGGGCTCCTAATCCCTAGACCCTTATACACAAAATGGAAGAGCAATGTGAACTTCGGTAAGGCCTTAGCTCTTGGAGGGGGCCCCGACGAACCTTACCCCCTTGTTGAAACCAAATACTTAGACCTAAAGCGAGATTAGCCTCCCCCCCACCCTCCCAAAGCGATTATAGCTTCTCATGCGGTTGTTTCTAGTTTCCGCATCGGTGGTTTTACCTTCCGAATCGGTGATTTTAGTCTCCCTTTAGCTTTTGGAGCCCCAATATATTGAAAGCTGTATTTGCGTGCGTTTGACTGTAAGGTGGTGCAACACATGCTCCGTAGACCCTACAGCCTGGACCCCCAAAAGCGTGGTCTGAGTGTTTCAGGGTTGAGGGCATGAAGGTTCCAGGGTTGACGTAGGGTCTAGGGCTCAGCATGCATGGTTTGTGGAGTTTCAGGGATGTAGTTTTTCTGTGCAAGAAGACCATGTAAATTTACATCCTGTTTTTTTGCATGCTCGACTAAGAGCATGGTTCCATGATTGCCGACTCCCGCCTTTATGGTTCCTTACTCCTGCCCCGCACATTTCCTGACTCCTGCCCACATATTTCCCGACTCTCGCCCTCGTATTTCCTGACTCCCCGGCCCTGACTCCCTTTCATAATGAATGACTTCGACAGCGCCCCACTCTCTGCAGTAAGCTACTTGTATCTGACTACGCAGCACTTACTACCGCGCGCACGCGCATGAATATTTTAATGGACCGCGCACACACTCCACCCCCCAGGTCATCTGCAGCGGCAGCTGACCATGGCGGGGGCACACACCCAACTGAAAGGCGAGCCGTCCAGTGCAGTTTGAGGCAACACAAACCCAAACAAACCAAACAACCCCAACGCAAGGGTGGAAGCTCAAGTGCTGGACCACGGAGCGTCAAACAGCTTTGCCAGCCACAGACGGCACTCATACTCAACACCCCAATACCTGCAAAATTCGGCGCAATGGCTCCTTCACTGCGCAAGGCCCATAACGAAGGAGTCACTGCGCTTGCGCACGAACTCCTGGCATCGGAGAACGAACAGAACGAGTTGGGCAAGCGCTTCCAAAAAAATGAGCGGCTGCATTGGCTCGCGCAGGGCAAGACGGAGCCACGGCGGAAAGTCGCCAAGCGCCAGCTTGCACAGTTTGGCCGAGAGAAGAATCATCCCCTGGAGAAAGGAACCAACTTCCTAAAGCGACAAGGTCTCCCTTGACAAAGGCATCCGTGGTGCACCTAGAAGGCGGAGCATTGCGGATGCAAAGTGGGATCTGCACGTGCGCGGACACAGCAGTGTGGAGAAGCCTTGCTGCAGAGACGGAGCTGCTAGAAGTGCGCATCCATGGTGAAGAGTAGTTGAAGAAAACCACACTGATATGCCGTATACGATGTCGCGGGGATGCGATGGCCTGGTCACCAAGGCCAGGAACAATACAAGTTTTAACTGAATGCAGCCGCCAACATGGGCTGCCCGACAAGGATGCTGATGCTTGTGAAACAACTAATTAGTCCTGGGTCGGACAGGCAGACGAGCAGCTTGCCGAACCGGTCACCCGACAACGTGCGGGTCACAATAAAAGGCGTATATTATCTTACATAAAAAGCAGTTATAAAACTCGTGCAGCCATGGTCTGAATCAGGAGGCAGCCCCAGTAGACCAAAACAACAAACCAATGGCCCTCTCCCCGGCGAAGAAATCTGGATCCAAGCTGTAGAAGGGGCATGGCATGGACTCTCGAGTGCTTGGTGTTGGGAAGCAAGGCACACCGAGAGTCAGGTCATGAACGACCATGCGTCATGGTCAGAAGTGAAACATTAAGCATGAACGCACATGCCACAAAGATACAACATGCAAACACAAGATCACTGAAGACTGCTCAAAAGACTCAGCAGCAAAAGAGGTATTGTAGCCGATTGTAGCCGCCAATATCATATTTCGCAAGCAGCAGCTGCGTCACACACATGGCCGACAAAAGCGACATAATTATTCGAGATATCCCGCGCTGCGTTCATGGCACCTTCTGTACAGAATAAAGTGTGGAGCGACAGGCATCTGCCACAACGACTACGTTCATGCCACCTGTTGTGTGCCAGGGTGTGCGCGGGGCATTGCAAAAGGGCATGCTCCAGTGAATCGGAGCCCAGAGAACAGAAACGACGCGTGCTGAGGCATGTGTTGCGATGACGAGCGGAACGCCCATCGGCAAAAACATGGTGCCCACACCGGGCAAGTGCCCAACATCGAGCATGATGAGCATGAGTGTTGTGACCATATAAAACAGGATGCAAGCGTGGCACACGTTGCCAAATCATGTACGAATGCAAGCTTTCCGTAGCTTGTTGCAAACCGTGAACATAGTTTGCACGAAACCTGCCCCATAAGATTTGGCGGGCATGTCCCAACCACCGCCTGACCAAACTTTGTGCACATCCAGAATGATTTCCCCAATCCGCAGGATGCGGCACACCTGCAGCCCCAAGTTCGCTTGCAATGGATGTAACCCATGCCGAAGGTTGTTGGGAGGCTAGACGCGCACGGTGCCCTGCCAAACATCCACGGGGCAAACTGAGGAGGCGGGCCCACAGGCCGGCCGCGCGAGACAGACGAACGGTGTTGGCGTCTGGCCAAGCAAGTTCTCCCTGAACCGCAACACTGGGAGAACCACGTGGCCACCCAAGCAGGCGGCGCCCCGATTGAAGAATACGTTGTTGGAAGCGTGCTATCTGCGGGCCCGCAGGGATTAGCTCCAAACCAAAAGTGACGGAAGGGTGCACGTATGTTTGATTAATGCGCTCCACGAAAGAAAGTGGCAGGTTTGCTGAGCTTGTCCAAGACAGACAAGCGGCCATTTTGCGCTCACGACGACGTAGGAGTTCATCAACGTGAAGGCTCCACGACAACCGCTCTTGCAGGGTGACACCTAGATAAGTGCAGCTTCGCACGCGCGGCAAATTAAGATCGCCAACATGAAAGCCCTGTGCGTTAGCATGGCCGCGCCCAAACACCATGACGGCAGACTTGGTGGGGCCCACACTGAGGTGAAAACGCAACGCTCTTGCCCAGCTATGCGCCGCATCTAATGCTTTTTGTAAATCGATGGCATTGTCACGTAAGATGACCAGATCATCAGCGTACAAAAGCACTTGGATTCGCCGGGCACTGCTGTCAGATCCACACGCAACTCCCGGGCAAACACGCTTTATGGTAGCTGCAAGACCATTAATCAAGATGTTAAACATAAACCCGCTTAAAACCGCGCCCTGGCCGATGCCGGACTCCACGTCCCAAGGCTCCGAAAAACATGCACCAATACGCACTGTAGCCGTGCGATCGCTGACGATGTCATCCTCTAGGTGCTATAGGCTAGTTCGAATGCGAGCCCTGAACACCGAGAGAAGGAAAGCATAAGCCCCACCCGATCCAGTCCAGAGTCTCTCCACAAGCCAACTTCTCCTAGCTCAGCGGAACCCCCAAAGCGCAGAGGCACATGACGCATAGTGCGGCCAGGAGAGGCGCTTGCTCAACAATGAAGAGGCTGAGTCCATCGTCTACATACAGGAAGGGCCCATGGTAAATCTATGGGAAAAGATGAAGCTGGCGCACTGCAAGCCCACCAGCCCTCCTCAGCCAGTAAGCAACCCACCGGCAACCAAAATAGCAGCTGCGAAAGGCAAGCGGGCGGCAACAGGCCCTGCTCAGACTTGTGGACCGCAGGCATGTCGAAACAGCAGGCAGACCAGCCGCATTCACCAGCGGCAGAGCCCCTCCGCTGCCGAGCCTCGGCTTCACCCCCAGGCCACTCGTCATACAATGCTGCAAACGTTGGGGGCTAAAATATCATGTTCCGCACGTGGCGCAATCCGAGCAGCTGAGGAGCTGCATCCACCGCCGGCCGCCATATGTAAGTCTCTCGCAGCGCTCTCGAGTCCGGTCATCCACCACAGCGCAACTACATGCACGGGACACCCAGTCAGCAGTACAATGCCACTTCATAGCAGCAAGTCGCCGCATCACTAGAGTTGTCCAAAATCAAGGCTCAAATGACACTGTGGGAATCAATTGTGCACGAACATCACTGACTACTCCTCTGGCTCATAGCATGGTAGCTGAAGCTGGAAGCGGAAGAATGCAAGTGCCAGGAACTATTCTCATCAACAATGGGTAAGGGCGTGTGGCGCCCATGCTTAACAGGGGCAAAGGAAGGGGGCTTACGGAACATGAGTAAGGATTGAGCAGCGCTGGGGCCAAGGTCGTGAGCACTCGGAATTCTGTCGCCAGCAGCTGCAGAAGGAAATGAGGCTTTACCAGTGGCGCTCCTTACTGCGGTTAGACTTCTAAAGCACTCCGGAATGAATATACAAACGCCAGGGCCCAGTAGGCAGATCCCGCGGCAAGTCAGCCAAAGAATCAGCAGAAGCAACAGACCCCGCATCACTAGGGAAGGAGGACTCGTCAGATTCACTCTCCGTCACAGTGTCATCGCCAGCAGACCTAACAGGGTCTGAAGAGGCCACGCGAAGAACACCACTTTGCTGCAAAGATGTGTCGGTCGAAGCGGGGACCGGGTCACTATAACAAATAACAAGGTCACAATCAACTACCATACCATCCTCAACTTTCCCAAGAACGCAAGGTGGCAAGAGGGCGGGGCCTTCATACACAATGTCAGCGGCAGGCGCATCAAGCCTGAGCTGGTGGACGCCTGCTCCAGAGGAACGCGGGGCACCCAGCCTCCAACAAGAACATGCAGCAAACTACGCTGACAGCCAATCTGTGGTTCGATATCATCCCTACCGCAGTGCGGCACACACCGACGGCTGCTGGCACCAGGACTACGGTGATGGCCTTGAGCCGCCCTCTCCCCTTCGGGCACCTAAGGTGGCAGCTCCAACCAAAGAGACTGGTCAAGCCACAGCTGGTTTTTTTGAGACAGGTGTGGGCTGCCAGACAACCCGCACTTGACACAGGCACACAATGTACTTAATGTGGTGGCCACGGGCGGCGAGCAGGTTAGTCAGACTATATAAGGAAGCAGCGCAACGCATGGCACACGCCAACTTGAAGAAGATGCGGCCGCAAGGGCCCAGTCACGGTTGAAGCAACCATGCCTGAGAAGCCCCAGCACATTCCCTTTGGGCTCGATTTAATTCTGCAGCACCTGCCGCGCACTGCTTTTGCGTCGGTGACAATTGGGTACAGGTCGACGCCTTGGGCGTCACTTCACGAAGCCTTATAGGCCGCCCGGAATCATACAGTAAATAGCAAAGCGGCGATCAAGAGTGGGACTCCGCTGATACGAGTCCCTCACTGGATGCGAGGTCCCGTGCTCACGCCATGCTTTGATTAAAGGGAGGCTAAAGCCTAAGCATTCAACAGGGCCTTCTACTAACACGTGAGCGTGGCAAAGCCCTGAGGCAAAAACAGCGGACCGACGCCGACATCGCACGTGGTCCGCCTGCAACCCTCTACTAGACTGATGGTGAAATCTAACTTGGGACATGGACGGCGCTCCAGCCAAGAAGCCCGGAGAAGAACAAAAGCCTACACACGCCAGGCACAATCTAGAAACAGCGTGGCTGGTGCAAATGAGCGCCAGCTTGAGCTCACTGACGTCTGCCACCGCTGTCGCCAGCCCAAGCCAAATAGCAGCCCACTTGCGGCGTTCAGCACATTCTAAGTGTCTCAGTGAATCCACACCCACTCAACAGCACGTGAGGCAACAGCTACTGAGTGACACACAAGGGGGTAGGGAGAGGCGCAGCGGAAACCAGCGCTGGGACCACGCACAAAGGACATGACTGTTTTAAAGGTGGAGGCGGGGCTTAATTAGTCCGGAGAAGGACACCTGGAACACAGCAATCAAAAGGGTGAGAGCGCACCCGCCTCAGGCGCTGCATAATACAACAACAGGACAACAAACAACAGCCAACAAGCAATCCATTTTCGAAGATGCAGCTGTGCAATGCTGCGGCCCACGCCCTCACCGCGGCTACAGGCAAACAAAAAGAAAGAGAGTCAAATGCGGGTGCGCTGGTGTAAGTGTTTGTAGCATTCACGGGCGCCAGGCTTCACGTGGACCGCGAGTGCTAAAACACTTGCTGCTATATGATATGTTGCTATGAGATGGCTGGCCAAGCCACCTCCGCAAACGTAGATCTGCCCGTGCAGCGACACTGCCGCTGCGCTCCTAAGGCCGTCAGCTGCTTACTGCACAGCATGAACTCTCAACCTCAGCGTGATCGACTTCTTCTGTGTCAAGTCCTGCTTAATGGCTATCAGTCTTCTTAATCCCAGACGTGAAAGCAAGTGCAGCTGGTCTTCCAACGCGCAACTGTGGGCGGCGGCAAAGGCTGCCAGGAGCTTGACATGTCGAGGCGTTCACAGCATCTCAATGCCATTCCACCTTTGATGGGTCGACTGATGGAACGAACACTTAAGTAAAGTCCGCTCAGCTGAGCAAAAAGCAAGGCAGTCACGGCAATGAGCAGAAGATGAGGGTCTGCGCAATGGACAACTGCACACTTTACGGCAATGAATTGAGGAAGGTGCAAAGTTGTTCAAGGCTCTTAGGTACTGGAAGCTGCTTGGAGAGCCTCGTTAGGGAACGCCACCCCATCACGCAACCTTCATTGCTCTCCATAAAGCCCGTTCACTTTTGTGCCCAGCCACGTGCGAAACCCGCCGTGGTGTACAGATTACCTCCTGTGACCACAGCGCAGCACCCGAAACGCGGCATCAGAAGATTGGGCAGCGACTCCCAACCTCTGCAATTGCGCTTCAAAAACGTGAGCTGCAGTCAAATTATTCCCATATAGCTATGAGGAAATACATTAGGGACTATGTTAAATTAATGGTCTCTTGGTAACCCCACTATCACCCCAATATTGAAGGTAGCTCCGCCTTCTCCATCGCATCGCTCGCACCTTTCTTCATGACCGTGGCTAGCAAGCCATGAGTATACAATCTCTCCGTGCACATGCCCTCCAATTCTGCATCAAGGATCAGGCTGAGCTCCCGCCCGCAGCTCGTACCGCCGACAACATACACAAGTCCATCAAGTACAGTAGCCGCAAACCTCGTTCAGTTCTGCGCTCTTCTAGAACAGTTCAGCCATGGGGTGTGCACAATCTTGACAAATAGCATGGACCGCGGACATGTGAGCTTCAGGTGCGGCAGGCTCCTCCATGTTGACAGTGCCGGGTTGAAGCCAGCTACCACATCCTGAGAACCGACAACATCAACAATTCAGCCGTCAATCTAGATTTGGATCCGTAATTTCACTCTACAAATCTGCCAGAAATTGCATTATCCCCTGGCTGATGAGGCACCAAGTCTTGACCATCTGCATAGCCGCCCATGATGAGGATTTCTGCTCCTACAAGGACTGCGGAAGCGGCCCATCGGGCCCCTGGAAGCTGCGCAACTTGCTGCCAGTCCTGGCTCCAAGCACAAGGCAAAAGGCATGAGAGCTCAGCAGTTAGGGGGATGCCGGATCAATTTTGGACTATCTCTTGCGCAAGTTGTAGCACCAGATGCTCCTGTCCTCCATCTGGACATCCAGCCCTCAGCGTCGGATAGTGGTTATGGCATGCACCCGTGCACTTCAAGTGCCCTTGAAGACAAGCAGTTTCTGTGTGGCCAAGTCTCGTTGAACCTGGTCCTGCGCATCATGGACCGCCACTAGTTTGCGCCCACCCATGTAGAATATCTCCAATCCGAGCTTGGACATGTGGCGCCGTTTCCGCTGAAGAAGCGATTGCAGTCCTGCGGTGCGGGCAACTGATGGCGTCGGCCATTCATGCATGTTGGAGTACTATTCGATTCGCGTTCTGGCAGTCAAAGGGTGCAAAAGAGGGGGCCCACGAAAGGCCGACAAGACAAAGCTAGCTTCTTTTTCGATTTCGTGACCGGCTGCAGACCTAATCAGCTGCAAGTAAGTCCTGTGGCAAAGCTGCGACTGCTTGATGCAAGTCGCCCAGCGCCAACCTGCCCAGACACCTGCAGGATCTCCTGTTCTGCAGTCAGAGAGAAAGAACGTCAATCGCGCATCTTCCTTGGGTGAAGGACTGCTTTCTGTTGATCTCTAACGGCGGTTAATCTTGGACTGCGAAAAAAGGAATGTCCTCGAGGAGGTCTGAGTGCATCACTCGCACGAGATCGGCAGCAGTAAAGGCAGCAATCCTCGGCAACACTGTCTCTTTGGGTCCGTATAGCTCAGAGGAGCATACAGTATAGGCTTCAAGCCTCTCAAGCCAGAAGCGTGCGCAACAAACTGCTAGCAAGTGAACCTTTAAATCTTTTTGATTCCTGTGAACATGCCAGGCAGCTGCGAAACAGACTTCGGTGGTTCTGCTTGGCTGTCAGCAAGAGATTTCTGAACCGGATCTGCCCAAAGTCCGCATCTCAGCAGGAGAAACCTGCAATCTGAGTTCGCAACGCATGCAAAGTAAAGTCGGCACAGTGTTGGCGAGCGGCGTGATTGGAAGCACCGCGGATGCCCAACCAAAGCGTTCCGCACTGCTGGCTTTTCGTCCACCGACAGCTACGCATCCCAAGAGCAGAATGCCGGACAAAAAGCTGAGGAAGGATGGGTCGACGTGCGGCATGAAGCATTGGACCGGCAGCTTCCCAGAATCAGCCAACGATACCAAGGTGCAGCATGATTCAGGTGCAAGCTACCCTGGGCACTGCACTACGAGCCCACGCAAGAATCTTCGCAATGCCTAGGTTTGCATCAGTCACAGCTGTGCTGCTAGGTACTGCAGCTCCGTCTAGGAGCTCTATACCGGGCAGAAAGTACAGCTCATCGTGCCAGCCATTGCTCACCATACCCGGTCAGCACATTCACAAAAAATCGATGTCTGCATAACATCCCACTGTAATTTGATTCATGCCTTCTGCAGCTCGTGATGCGGACATGAGCTGATAGATTGCATTCCCGTGCCTCCCGACTGGCGAGCTCATCTGCAAACTGTTCCGCGACCTGCGCCACTCCGACTCTACTTGACATGTCCTGGCCGCAAACCAGCTGGCAAGTCATGCTCGAACCTCGCGTCGGGCTTCTTCTATTCGCAAGCCCATGGCTTCAACAGAGATGCGTGCCTGGAAAAGCCAAGCAGGCATGACAGGATCATGCACCAAGATTTAGAGTTCCAAACCAAGCAAGCTCCTGACCGGTCTTGGGCCTTGGGGCCTACGACTCCCTGAAGTTTTGACACTAGGTTAGAAGGCTTGGCCATCAGGCCCTCTCGGACTAACCATCAGCACATCATGCAAATTCAAAACTCCCGACTTACATGCTTGCATGTAACCTCATCATTCGTGCTACACAGGACTGCGCATTTTGCGTGACAAGCTCTTCTGGCCCTGCATTTCTGCTCTTGTAGGTGACCCGCCAGACGAGCACTTTCGTCAAGGTCCGTGGAGACCTGGTGACGCAGAACACGCTTTTGCTCACATTGTCAGCCACTGTCAGCCACTGCAGCCGGCTCTAAGAGTCGGTCTGCCAAGTTGTGCTGGAGAATTGCCCTGGCAGCCGCGCGAGCGTCCTGAAAGTGCTGCATGCCAATTTGCCAATTGCTGCATGCTGGTGTAGCTAACGAACCACCGAAGGAACAACCGTCACCTATGTTTCTATTTAGGTCACCTATGTGATGTTTCCAGGTCAGAGCCATTGATGCACAGAGTTGCTCAACCTTGACCTTGACCACTATGTATGCAAGTAGCTAACGAACCCGGCACATGCCTGCCATAGCTGAACGCTGACAAGTGTCATGCAAGCGGCTGCTCTCTGTTGCCGGTCTCACAGCTGCCTCATGCATGTCCAGGACAGGGATAATAAGTATGCCGCTGGCCTGGCTGCTGCCAAGCTGCTGCTGCATTTCTGGCAGCCAGAGCCACCTGGAATGGAAGCCTGCCCTCCATGGAGGCTCGCTTGGCAGCCTGCAGGGGTGCAACATGTTGTCACTTCCCAGAACAGACACACTTCACAGCGTCTCGTACAGAAGCAGGCGATGCCAGACTCCCCACAAGAGCTCTGGCGAAATTCCGCGGCCTCGAAGGCTACCAGTCGGGCAGCTTCCGTGGAGGCATCACCCAAGAAAGCTCTCCCCGCCTTTGCGCTGGTTTAATTCGATTGTCATGAGATGACAACTGCGACAAGCATGTTTGCAGTATCAAGCTTGCTGCAAAGCGTCGCCCTCACCCATGGCACCGGCTGCTGCTGAGCGTGCTCTGCTTCCCAGTGCCGCAGTCTGCAACCTCCCGGTCGACTGCGTAATGGCATGTACGGCAGCTGGGACAGCCGTGGCGAGTAACGCGTGAGTGCGCGATGTGTTAGCTGCCAGGCCAGCTACCACGGAGTCATGGGCTGCAACGCCCACGTCGAATGGGGAAGCCGCCTGACGAGCTGCTTGTGTCGCTGACGCTTCTGCAGATGCCGTTGCCGCAAGTCTTGCTGCTGCTGCAGGGGGGAGACCGGCTGAGATTACTGCTTCGCGCGCCGCTTCCGTGATTTTTCCTGGCGAGACACTGCGAGCCGCCAATGCTTTTGATGCCTCCCTGGCAGCCGCCTTTGCCGCGGGCAAGCTTTTGTCCTGCCATGGTTGCCAGCCATCGGCCACTCTCGCGGTGGTTCCGGCGTCTAATGGATAATCCTCTGCAGCGTGACGAGTTGCAGCACGCCGTGCTGCGGCAGATGCTATGTGTCCTGTTACGTCATCTGGCAGCATCAGGCTGTGCAGAAGCTTCTTGCATTGTGCATGAACATGTGCAGGTGGTACTCCGAGCTGGGACTTTGTCTCTGCCATGACTTCTGCAGCCGACTCTGCCAGAGAAGAGGTGATGTCCGACACGAGGATCATGCTGTGGTCGCTAAGAGCTGCACTTTGCAAGCTTTGCGCTTCGCTCTGCAAGAGGTTGGAGGTTTCCCTCAGAAGCTCTGCCACGGTCTCCGTATTTGCTCCTCTCCTGAGACATTCCTTTACGATGACCTTGCCAAAGATTTTGGCAAAATCCATCCCTGACATTTCAACCTCCTTTGACAAGGCGAGCTTTGCCTGTGAAAAAGCCTTTCTCAGAAGATCCGCTTCACCGAAGCCTTCTCGGAACTCTTGCTCAAGCACTGCTCTTACAGCAGCTTTGGCAGCGAGATACAGCGCCTCCCTCAACGAAAAAAATGCACTGCTGGCAGTACCCATATTCTGCGGCAGTGCTGCGGCTATTGAGATGCCCACGTGCTTGGCTTCGGCACCGACAGCCCCCGGGCTCGAGAATCGAGCTATCTGTGTTGTCAGCGTCTCAACGGCCGCAGTGCAGATTAGGGTAGCGTGCTCAGAGCCCTGCGCCCCAGTAGCATTTGCTGCTTCACGGGCTTGGCTTGCAAGAAAATCTGCCGACGCACCTCGAATGAGCTTCTGTCGAATTATTGCTTGTACAGCAGCTTCTGCAGCTAAGGACTCTTTCAAGACTGCGCTCCGCATGAAGATGTCAGCTGCTTGCTTGGCAGCCATTCCAACTTGGCTTGGTGGGCTTCCTAAGCTTGCTGCTTTGAGAGCAGAAGCCTTGCTGGCAATTTTTGCTGCGGACAGCCTCGAAGATGCGTCCGCTCCAGCTGCTTGCAAAGCGAGTCTGACAGATTCTGCGACTTGAGTTGGACTTGCGCCTGAGAATGCCACACCCTCACCCACTGCAGAGGCGCCCTTGAGAGCAGCAAACCGTGCGAGTGGACTCACAGGCGCGCTGCAGGTAGAGAGCACCTTGCTGGCGGCAATATGAATACGCAGACCGCAGTGCAAGGGTGAAGCTGCGCGGATGCACTGTCGCGCGACTGCTGTTGCCACGTGCTCTGCGCCGAGTATGGCCTGCTCTCCTGGACACAAATTGAAGATTTTCAGGGCTGCGACAACAGCGTCTTCAGACTTCGACCTTTCTGCTGCAGCTGAAGCAGCTGCTTGCGTGGCCGCGTCTGCGGCAGCTTGGCTTGGTGCGTGGGTGCCCTTTGCTGCATCGGAGGCTGCTGCTCCAATCTCAGCGCCGGTGGCCCCTGAGGCAGCCGCCCTTTCTGCTGCTGCCAGTGCAGCTGCCTGCGCGGAAAGGAAGCTCAAGTGCGTTGCCGTAAGGCTCAAACCACCCTCTGCCGCACGGCTTGCAGCAGTAATTGCGCACTCGGTTGCCATGCCAATTGTGTTAGCATCTACAGGCATGTTGGGCTGACCCGAGCGCGCCAGCACATTTGCGGTGGAAGTAGCGACGGTGGCCAGTTCCTGCCCTAGTTGAGACTTCGAGACATCATGACCCTGCCTGCGACGGAAGTGCTGCTGCATGCCGCTTGACAATTGCTCGCAAATTGAAGCTTTGAAGGATGTGGGCAAATGGGCAACCAGCCCTGCTACAAGGAGTTCCATGTCCTTCTGGACGGATGTCGACACCGAACTTGCTGAATCCCCAAGCAGGGTGCCACCGACCGTCATGTCATCAACCATGTTCTTCTGAGGCAGGGGGTGAGACACCTGCAAGGTTTCTCAACACAAGTGCTCCCCAACTTTATTCGTAAACGTGGTAGCAGCATGCAGAAATAGATTCAGGATATTTCTTCAAGAGCTGCACAGAGCTGGAGTCTGCAAAGCATCCGAGTCGACGCCTCTTTTTCTGCCGGAAACTCCTTCATGCTGACTGGCATGTACAAAATACAGTGTGTGACTATGTTGCTATGTAGCACCTGTGAGACGTGTCTTCTTCACTTCGCTGAGATCTGTCCAGCCTTTCTCTTAGCCTGCCTGTTTGAGTTCATTGAGTTCCGGTCATTCCGTTGTAGACGTCGATCCTTGCGATCGGATCTATGCCCCGACAGGCTTTGTGCCATGACATCGACAGTCTTCAAGCTTAACTTCCTTCAATCGAAATCAAGTTCTTCTCGCCGACCACCTGCTCGAATCTTCTTGCCTTCTCGATGTCATTCTTAGCCATGCTCGGTCTACTAGCAGAAAGGTCCTCTGCCTTCTGAATCAACTGGTCGCGCTCACCAATGAGGCAGGCGCACCATGGGCCAAATCACTGTACGTTGCTTCGGCCGCAGAGACTCCAAGCATCTCGTCACAGAACTCGGCAATAAACAACAGGGCCGGTTCCGGCTGAAGCGTTTCTTTTGACCACAGCTCTTTGCTTGCTCAAGTCGCAGTGAGGACGGATGCCCTGTCAACCGTCGGCAAGTCGCTGGGACGCCATGGAAACACAGTCTGGCACAACGCCTGCAACCGTGTGTCGAAGATAGCTACATAGGCGGCATCTCAAAATGCAAAGTTCATGCTAGCAGCTGCCCATGAAAGCGCAGACAGTTTCCGGGACATGGGCAGTGCGGGGGAGGGTCATCCGACATGCCTTATATGAATAAGTTATGATGTTGTGAAGCGGTGAAGCATCAAAGATGCATTGCATCGTGGATCCCATTTACAAAGCTGGCAAAAGCTGAAGCCACCTGGTCTCGACAAACAAAGACATAAAGACACACTTCAAGTCACTTCAACTTTCACATTCTTCCAAGGACGTCTACCCGACTTTATTCTCGTTGCCTCTCCCTCGATCCCTTCAGCGGCCTCTCGTGCCTGGCAAAGAGAGCTCGCCACCAATTCGCCATATGGGTGTCCAAACGTCTTGCCTCCTCTTGGGCGACTTTGCGAAGGGTACTGGTACTCATACCATCCACCACTGCAGCAGCAGCAAAGGCAGCGCGGTTCGCCTCTCAATAGAAATTTGTTGCGAACAGTGGTGGAACAGATTGAATGTTCGGCAAACACAAGAAAAAACCTTCGTTCACATCATCCAAATAGCAATTCCTTCAGAAGACAAGCGCAAGCGGCAATCAGCTGTCACACCTTTTGCCAGGAGCATGACAGCACGACCTTTCACTTGAGTCTTGCTCCGCCAGCTGTCGCTTTGTTGAATCACAATACGTGACAACAGTCTGACCATCTCCAGCAAGCGGGAAATAGTTCTCTTCCTGCATAGGTAAATGCCTGAAATGTTCTTGTAATCACAGTTCCTGGCTCAACAAAGCAACGCTGCAAGACTGGTTGTTGGCATGCAAAAAGCAAGGCGCATTCGCCACAAGCATCCTGAGGATCCATAATTACAGCACATTACAGCACATTCACACTAGGGGGCTGCAGCGTGGGCACAAGCTGAACAGGACCTAAGCTGGCATATTCCTGGCGCACCCACAGCGCAGCTTCTTTCCACACTGCACGCAGTGCATCCAAAGCACATATTTCTCTGGCGACGTCACTGCCAAACTGCAGCGCCACTTAGCCTCGGCTCATTCAAAAATGGTGCGTGAGGAATGGAGTGGGTTATCTCAGCCCTTTGGCGCATCGTATGTAAAGGTGCATTTCCAAGCGTACTCATGTCGAGTGACAAAAGCAAGGCTGCCCAGAAAGTCGCTTAGAAGAACCACATCCTCGGACACCAGTGCTAGGAAACTCAGGAATGGATAGCAAGCAGTGGCGAAGCTTTCGGCACGACCCTGTAAAATGATGTCCTTTTCTTGGAAGGTTTATCATGTGCTGACCCATTTGTTACGCACTCCAGGGAGCCTTCTTTGGAGTTAAGTTTGCTGCAGCATCAAGATCATGGAGCAGAATGCAGTCTCTGACACAGCCCTACTCACTGAGAAATTGACTGCAGCTGACTGCACTGCCTGCGGACTTGCCGGCGCGAGCAAGGACATTTTATCACCAGAAGTCCACTGCAGAAGCCAGCCTCACACCCACTCAGCCCAAAGGCACTGGGAATGCTCGCAGCCATGACGGCCTTCACCTTCTGGCTAGCACGTTGCAAGGTATTGAGGTGCAACTCCTTCATCAGTATGCAACGGACAACGTTGCATGTACCTCACCCTCAGCCGCGCCGGCATAGAGGAGGGTATGCCCAGCCTCCTCTCTTGTGCAGGCAGTAGCTACTTGGACTCTTGACTGTACATCTGGATACCAGTCGTGCTCCCAGTCCTGCAGCTGTTTCACTGCTTCAGCAGCTCTGGACAATGGTAGGCCAGCCACGATGAGAGGCGGCGCGGTGGGTGACAAAGGGACTGCGAAATCATTGTGGCAATTTTCGTTCTGCAGCTCTGTAGGAGTTACGAGAAATAGGTAAAAGAATTTGTTGGCAAGCACACCTTCAGGCAGCTTGCGCCAGTCAGCTCCTTCTTCAGGCGCTGTCACCTGAGACTGGATCGTGGGATTCAGGCATAGGACGCGTCCCAGCTTTGACCTGCAAGTTGAGCTGCGACAGAAAAGTCATTCCCGAAGCTTCCTTGAGCGAGATCAGCTGCCTCAGACAAGCACTCTTTGGGTTTCTACTTGCGAGTCTCAGCAGTGCTTTGCACGCTCAGCCTGCACTGGAGACAGCTCCGTGAAGAAAACCTTAACTTCTTTTGATGCCAGAGCTGGAATCGCTGCAAATAGCTCATGCAAACAGAACTCCATTACCCATGGCTACCAAGAAGCCGTTGCTATTTTGCCTCAGGCAAGACAAGCTGCTGACCCAAGCTCCCCTGCTCTTGCCTATCCTGAACTCACGCGGCTTTGGTTCTGCAAGACTGGGATCCTACCGTCTGGCCAAGCGTCTCTTAGTCAAAGCTCCTGTGCTGTGAGCTGCCAATGCCAAACTGGTTGGCTCAGACGGTAGCTGCATAGCGACGCCTGGTACAGTGTTGAACGTGGCCCAAGTTGAAAATCTAAGATCTTTGGGCTTGAAAAATACTTAGAAGCATGGTCCTCCCAAGAATGTCTGCGGCAGGCCAGGAAATATGCAGACTCACTTGATGACATAAAGCTTAAAGTTGACATAACAAGCATCACTGAGAATGTTGTTCTCTTCTGCTAGATGCCGAGAGCATTTGGTGCAGCAAGGACTCCCAGAAAAAGCCCGGGGTTACATAGAGACTTGTGGGACTTCCAGGGGGGAGATGCCGAGACACAATCGCAAGCTGCCACCTTGGAGACGATCTCCACATGAGAAAGAAACAGGCTGCCATCCTGGTCTGCGAATCAAGCCAATGAAGCCCTATGCGCCCTTTAGGCCCTTTAGGCCTGAACGACAAATCCAAAAGCAATTCGTGCCAAAGTCAGCGCCTGCTCCATACTATTGCTCACCCATCGCTGTGCCCATGTCCGGAGCAACTCCATACGGATGTGCGGGTCGACGGGACGATTGCAATACAATGCGACTTACGTTTGTTTCATCCAGGCAGGCCCAGCGTGGGAGATACTAAGCGTGGGAGATACTTATCCATGCTCTGGAAGTGCTCCTGCTATCAAATGCCACTACCTCGCTACCTGAAGGTATGTCCTCATAGTGAAGCTGTGTGCAAAACGTGTCATGTGCAAGATGCCTGATGACGGTTGTCTTGTCATGGCAAGGGCTGCATAGCAATGGGAGTATCGGGAGCAACGTGGGACCATTCCGCGGTTGCTTTGGGCGTTTAATTACTCTCTCAGAGGGACGCTGGCGCTTGCAAGCCTGCCAACGCAGGACGTGTGAGAAACTCTGGTCGGTGCGAGGCCTGATGAAATCCGGCTCCTTCGTCCAATGCCTGAAACAGAAACATCAGCTGCAGCGCAGCTTGATGAACCTTCTGCGGTTTTCAAACGGGGCCTTCTCAGCTGCAGCCTTGGCCAGCGCATGAACGGCCACTTCCACAACCACTGCCTCAGATGCCTCAGCCGGCAGGCACCTCTTCAAATGATTTAGAAAGTATGAGCTGGCAACACTTGCTGTGGCCAGTGAGAGTTCTTCAGGTACTGTAGCTTTCAGATGGCAACGCTGCAGGCATCCATTTGTGGCATCTTTGGCTCAAGCCTTCGAAAGGGTCCAAAAGAGAGAGCCTCTGGACTTTTAGTGCAGAAACGAATTGAAAGTGCTCGGAAACATGATAATCTCCAAGCGATGTGGCAATCTTTCATTTACAGAGCTGAACCCATTTGGGCAGCTGGTGACATGTCTGGCCCCAGCCGGCTTTTGTCGGATGGGTTCGCACCTGCTGAGCTTCTCAGCTGGCTGTAGTTGCGTTATCTATGTACAAGCTTTGCGGCCGTACGAAATCTTATGATTTTATACTCCGGAGGCATAAAATCCTAGCTGCTTTGCTGCTTCTCAGATCCTGATTCGGAGCAACCTCTGTCCTCGTGCTGGCAGCACCAATCTTTTTTTCGGCCTGACCAGCCGAACTGCCAGTTCTCGTAACCGGCCACGCAGTCATACCTCAGAAGCCAAGGAGAGGCGCAGCCTTCCAAGCAAGCTCTGACATGTGCTGGGAGAGGCTAGGAAACCTCAATGCTGGTGTTTCGATGGAGCGGCTCAGTGTTGTCCGCGTCGTCGCAGCCACGATCTTGATGAAAGCAGCACCAAATCTTTTTGGCCTGCCAGGCTCCCGCTTTCAAGCACCAAATCCAGCACATTCGGGGTGCCTGCGACCAGCCCTGAAGCCAGTTCTGATAACCCGCATCGCAATCATAGCGCTCTGCTTTCTCGACCGGACATCCAACCGCGGCATGATAGCCTGGCTCGCAATTCGAAGCAATACGAAGACAATACAAAGCAATACGCAAACACCATGCTGCTCAGTTGCAGCACCATGCTTTCTTCGGTCCGTGCCAATTGGGCCACTCAGAATATCCGGCTGTGCAATCCTAGGCCAACTGAACGCTTCGCAAGGGACCTGACATACTACCAACCCAACATGACCCAATCAATGCGCATCAGCCAGCTTTGCGCTTCATCTGCTTGTTGTTGCTGCAATGCCTGATGTTGCTTCAAGTCTCATACTTCGGCGTGCTGGCATACTGTCCTGCCTTCCAGGGCTCAAAGACAGGAACATGTGCGGGACATGGTTCTTAACCCTCCCATTTGATCCCATTTGCAGCGGGTTTGCGCCTGATACTCTGCTGGGCAACCTTGAGCATGGTGCATGCAACACCACAGCTTCTTCCTGAAGGTATCAGTATGGCAGCGCCAAGGGAATTTCTGTTCCAATTCATGCTTACATGATTACAGCTGAACTTTTCCAAAACTCCGGTACGACCACGTAGATGTCCTTGAGCAAACTTGAGTCAAGGGCATGACTTGCTCGCAAAGTCCCGCTGCAAGTCTTTCCAGCACATAGTGCTCAAAATGTTGCAAACAAGCCTCCCTCTTCCATAATCGATTTCACAATCATAGGCGTCGCTGTGCAAAGAAGCCCTGCAGCCAATGCCTTGCTCACAAAGGCTCTGTCAAGGAAGTTCGGCTGCATCACCAAGTTGAAATTACATTGCATAACGACTAGACTGCCAGCATGCCAGCATCAGATCCACTCATGCAGGAGGGGAGGACAGGTCTGCAAGCGGGGAAATCCAAGGCGCCATGGTTCTCGCAGCACCAATTTTGCTTGCCTCCCGGAGCCGAACAGCACAAGCAGTTTGTTAGGCAGTTTTGCTGGTGAATCCCGTGTGCGAACCCGCGCCACTCCAGCATTCATAATCACAACGCTTGCTCGCATAATTTCTGACTGAGGCACTGAGGGTCCAAGCAGTCTGCCTCACGAAGCTTGACAATATGCGTTGATTTGGCCGCAGCATGGAAACTGCGCAAGTGCAAGCTACAGGCGTATAGGCTGCTGCTGACCCCTCAGGAGAATCCCCTGGCAAGAAGCACAATGCACGAACCGCAGTCAGTCCAAGCTTCCAGTACAACACGTCAGTGTAGCAGTCGTCATCGTTCGTCTGAGGTCTGGATGCAAGTCCAGCCCAGTTTGATGCCTGCTCGAATGAGGCTTGACAGCATGCCGAAATGCTGCACAAGGTGTCCACCTGTGGCACTAACGTAGACTGCGGAGTCGTAGTTGGACAGCCAAGCAAATTGTGCTTGCAGCACCAAGCCCTGATGGATCCAAAGCAATGTACGCGCAAACATGCTAGCACAGCAAAGCCACTGACAGCATTCCTGGGCTAAGTAGCTTTTTGGCATTACTCCACATCCGCTCCGGTTGATGCAAGCAGTCGTAGGGAATGTTGATCTGAAGCGGTTCGGATGTTGACACCTTGGAAGCAGGCAGGAGCGTACACTGCCTGTGTACAAGCGCTGTGGCGATTGAGGCAGTAAAGGTCGTTTTCTCGCGCTAAGGCTTCAAAGAAAGTGGCTGAAGGCATGACGCGTTGGTAGTCAACAAAGTGAGGGTCTTGCTGGCAGCCGAGGGGCAACATCTGCCGCAACCGTGCCCCAAGACCACAACCAAACAATGATCCAAAGCACTACCTCAAGGAACTTGCCATGAAGCCAGAGGCAAGGAAGTCAGGTGTAGGCCCTCAGCGGAAGGCTTTTTTGCTGCCTGAGCTCAGTTATGTCCAAGCAGCACTGGCGATCAGGGTGATGGCGCAGCATAGAATGATGGCCAGCTTGTATCTCTCCCAGAAGGAAATCTGGCCGTCCTTCATTTTGCATCAGGGGCCTTGATAGACAAGCCCGGCGCATTCAGCACGCAAGCGTCAAGAGGACTGCCACATACTGTTGAAGGAACATGTTGGCCGTTGCTACCCTTGCTCACTCTTGCATTGTGATGCGAGCAGTGTGATCCCCTTGAAAGCTTCCATGATCCCCGACGTGTGCCCAACAGTGTCCTGAGTCGAGTGAGCCACAAAAACGGCCGCCAAGTTTGGGTACTGGTGCTGGACGTACCTGAGCAGCGGCACGAAATCAAGTATGCCGTGGACACACCTTCCCTAAACACAAAAACTGATCTCAGGTTCACCAAGAAGTGTAGAGTGTAGACCAGTCACAACAGGGTTGAACGTGCATCGTTCTGATCTTCAGATTTCTGCTGCACGCAACTCAAATAGCCTCCATGTCCTCGGCCGAATGCTCGCTTCTGCTACAAAAGACAACATTTCCTTGCATTACTGGACGCTTGCATGACTGCCAACCAATTGCTCCAAAGGCTCCATCCAACGACCTTAGCATGAATCCTCCGGGACAAACTTCTTCCACGAATTGCGTTGCATGGCTTTTGTCCTTGTGGACCTGCGTGACATCTCGTCTGGCCCTCCGGCTACACGGTCGTTTTGTACACATACTGCGCAGTTGCGCAACCATCTGCGCTGATGTCTAAACCTGCAAATGGCTATGACCAGGGAAAGGCGCATAAGCATACGTAGAGTGAGCATCTCTTCTGTCCAAATCCATCCGCCTTGGACCGTGGACTCTGGATTTCAGGCACATGACCCAATAATGCTACCAAGCTGCTCAGTGCAGGCCAAGTATCCTAAGCACAAACGTCTGCAGCAAATCGAGGCACGCAAGTGCATCGCAAGCATTTTGAGTAAATGTAAAGCACTCAATCTTGAGGGCTCAAAGCTGAGTCTTTAAACAGGATCCCATAAAACTGGCAGCGCCCGCTCAAATCGAAAACAGGTTTTCCATTGTTAAGCCCTACAAGAAACAATTGAATCGCTCGAAGCAGCGACTGAGAATCCAAGATTTCACATGCATGTAAACGCATTTCTCAAGATGTCTTCACGCGACCAACCCATCTTCGAGCATGGTAGTCCGGCTGACGAAACCCGCTCTGATGAAGACATATTACCGGTACTTGTTGCAACGTCCAAGATTTTGGGAGGTTGCTACTTCCTGAATCAGAACCCCCCAGATCCAGACTTGATTCACAATTTAAGCCTAATTGAGCTTCAAGATGAAGGCTTTTGGCGCTTTTCTCTCTTACCCTAAGCGTCCCAAGACCTCATACGGGACCCCAAGACCTTACTTTGGCCTGTTTGAGCTCCAGTGCCCCATGGTTTGGGGCGCTCGTAACATGATGTATTTCCTCGTTTTGGAAAGGACCTGAATTTTTAGGCCTTTGTTCAGAAGATGCTGTATGCAGGTAGATGAGAGCTAGACTCATGGAGTTGAGGTGTTTACGTCATGGATACGACGTGTGAATATTGAAAATTTAGGTCGAACTTTCAGAATCTTACAAAGACGCAAGAGTAGTGTAGCTTTCGTAAGTTTTCGGTGCTTGTCATCCGAATATGTTGACTGCACTAAGGCAGCTGATGTGTGAACTCAACTTATGATTGCAGACAGACAACAGATAGGGAAGGTCGTGCACGCGCATAATCGCCCAGATGTAGATATGTCAATACACATATAACCTGGAAACCCCAGGAGCCAACCTCTGAATCCAAAAGCAATACAGCTGCCGTAATGAATGATTTGTGGGTTCTCCTGCGGCCTGCTGCTGCGGACAGTGAACTTCAGGTGGGGTCTGGGATTGCAGCAGCGCAGCGTGCAAGGTCATGATCATGATCAGACTGTACTTGTGCGCATGCATGCCTGCAGTGCAGCATGCGCAGAAGCGTGATCATGTTGCATCATCTTGGCACATTGCCTCCTATGAAGATACCCCGGTGCCCGAGCCATGTCCCACGTGGGATAGGCAGGGATGGGCAAATACATGTCAAAACTCTTATTTTGGCTTAATCTGGATCCCAGGCCATGGTTGTCACTGATGAAAAGAGAGATATGGCCAAACGACGCCGGACCCAGTTCAAAGCAGATCCTTGACTGAATACATCATGCCTATGATGTTGGTCAGCAACTGATGACCATGATGTGTACATGTATCAAGTTACGACCGTATATTAAGCCCACCTTAAACCCTAGTCTGAACCCTACCCTAAACCCATGCCTACCTCTCAGCTGTTATTTCGGTCAGGCTGCACTCGTAATCTGCAAGAATACGAGAAACAAGCAGACCAGGAAAGTAGACTGAGAAAGTGAGCGATATCTGGGACCAAGTACTTGCGTGCAACCCAAACCTACCGCAAGAGTTTTGTTGTGTGGCGGCCGAAAAGCAGGCTACGTATGTTGCGCAGGCAGGGGCTCTATGGGACTCGCACGTTCTAAGTATACGTCACGAGATGATGTGCCTACAGTTGATAGGCGTTTTGGAGGCGGACCCGCGGGTATTGCAGCAAAGTCTGGAGCACTGCTTGGAGGTGGCTTCAAGAAGGGTCACAAATTGAGGATGTTGGAACTCGCGCTAGAAGCAAATACTGGAGGAAATACATAAAATCATATATAACAGGCAACATGATCATATGTTATAAAAGTATACCTATACATGTGCACATGCGTGTGGTTCATCATGACCAGGACTGGTCCATGGCTCGCCTGGAGCCTTTGAGGGATTCTTGGTGCGTGAACACGTGAGGGGTCACTTTGGACCCATGGAGGGAAAGCCCTTTCAGTAGGTTAGGAGTGCGGAGCAGTGTGCTGTGCAGCTGAATGTTAGAAGGGCCAGGAGAGGCGCCACTGGACGGATGGTGCAAGAAATCCTGCATGATCTCTGATATCTGCTATGCATATACACGTAGATATGCCATGCAAGATTGTTAGCTTCTGCTGGCTCCGAGCTATAACTTGTTTCTTGTCAGTCCTAGCCATTAAAGACAAACTGTAGCCTCAGAATACGGTACTGGAGGTTTGTGGCATTGGTAAGCAAGTTTCATTGTCAGTTGAATTCCGTATGTAACTAATAATAATAAGAGCTCATATATAATTGTAAAACTCAATTGTAAACAGTTATGATTCAACCAGATTAGCTTGCGAGTCTCATGAAGCCTCAAATAGGCCGAAGCTTACTCAGAAGCAAGATCGTCCCGCCCTGCAACGCTGAGCTCAACAATACTCTGCCCTACCGAGAAGTGTGCAGGTTTCGGGAAAGATATGCAATTACCAACAGAAAGTCCCCACTATTTATAGGTTTAGGGTTTAAGGCGCGGCTCACAAATAGCCCCTTCTCTTTCTGTGTGTTTTCACACCGTTGGCTGGGTGTGTGGATGTTTGGTTCTGTGGCCTTGGGACAACTTGTCAATCGCCACCTGGCACATGACAGTTGGACTGATAGGCTCAGGTGCGAGCTGGGGGCCCTTCCCCTCCGGCGCAACGTGGGCCAGGATTCAGGCTGGAAGGCAGTCAGTCAGTCAGTCAGTCAGTCGGTCATACGCCGGGCGGCGCGTGGACAGGTAAGAGTTGGCACACTGTGCGATGCCAGACATGTGGATTCTGTACAAGCCTAGCTATCTCATAGTGGCCCTCAAAGAATTGGAATACTTTGTCCCTAACGTGCGTGACCCATTCTCGTCGGGGCCTCCCCGCTCTTCTCACACATGCACTTGTAGCAGGCTGCAAGCTCCCAGGGATAAATGCGCAAACGTGCAACGGATCGTCAAGTAGAGATCTCAGAGCCTTGCCAAAAAGTAGGAGTTGTCGTTTGAGGAGCATGTCAGTGGCAGAAATGTAAGATGCTGTGCGTAAAACTTCCATGTTCGACACTCCTGAAGTGAACGCAGGTGGGATGCCAAGAATACTCCGTAAACAGCGGTTCTGTCTTTGCCATCCCGATTCTTCGGCCAAGCTCATGCCCCAGCAGACCGTCATGAGTGAGAACACACGATGCGTTCATGCGCGGGAGTCGAGATTGAAGCTTGACATTGTACCTGGAGCAGTTGAAACTTGTCCCAGTGAAGTTCCATACCGTATAAAGACCCAGCATTTGCCACCTCTGAAAGAAATTCTTGCAAATGACAATCAGATGTACCAAGCAAAAGTGTATCATCAGCATAGACCACATCAGCCAAATCACCTCGATGGTGGAAGGCAGGCTGCATAATATTATTACAGACATCTGGACGCATGTCTATATATGTATATATAAATATTTTTGAGAAATCGCTCTAAAGTATGCATGCATATGATCACATATTACAACATATATACATCTGTTTTGCCTCAAGTGTGCAGGTGTTGGGGAGCCATTGCAACAACTGTCCCATTACATCTATTAAAGGCTTATTGTTTAGGGCTGAATCCCTTGATTTGTGCGAGTGACTTCCCTAGATAGCACTTTCCTACTTTTAGGCTTCCCGTGCCAAAACTGAAAACTTCTAGCAAGGAAAAATGACTAAACTTTTGACTATTGCAGTTCCATGCACAAGTTATGTACGCAGTGCACATGTACGTCACATTGTATCTGCAGGCTAATGTCTAGTTCTGCATGGACATACGGAGTGCATTTGCAATTTCTTGTCCAGACTTATAGACCTCCAATGTCTGCCGGACATATTGGGACGTTTCCTTTAGATTCTACTTTCAACTCTTGAACAATGGTCATCTGACTCTCGGGGGGGTGCACTTCCTGATCATGGGCCTAGATTCTTTTTTGTTTGCTCTGATCTGGGTTTGGGACCTCATGAATGGTCATACGTGAGCTTTCTGTTGGATAATCTGTCTAGGTTCAAAGCCCAAGTATGACTTTTGCTCTGGGTGTAGGGCATGCATCATATTAATAAAGTTTCCCTCAAGCATATATTCCCTCATACATGAACTTTGTGTAGTGTTGGTTATGCATGCCTGCATATGGACCAGTAGCTTAAGTTTGGGATTTTATCTGTACATTTTAAAGTACAGATGTACACATGTACATAACATATACATATGCGCACTATTTTGAAGGGCCATCTGTTGATCGGCAATCGATCTTTGGGTCTCTCAGCCACAACTGACAGACCTGCTCCGATGGATCATAACCATGTGATGCAGTGGTGCGATCTGGGGACTGGAGGAGGAACATGATTCGCATGCGCTACGCATTATTACGCATTCATTCGATCAAGATGTTCCGCGTAGACTATGCCAACTATGCTATGCACTTAATTCGTGTGGTGTTGCATCAACTTGGACAATGTTTTTTTTAATGTTCATCTAGAAGCGGCGGCTTGATCAACTTTGACATATACTGGGCCCATAATTTAGCACTGTGATGGTGACGTGGTGCATAGTGCCTGTTACAGGCAGTTTCCCTAGAGCTTTGGGTATTTTATGTAAATTCCAAATGCCTTGTTGTTTAGGTGCCTGATATACGGGCCTCGAAATTTTGGGTCTTGCAAAAGTGCTTCCTTGTGAAGTCTAAGGGTTATAAATGCGATTGAGGTTTGTGTTGTGCTCTGGAGGTTCATAGTATGAAATCATGGGCTATGCGCTGCACGACCAAAGATAGACTTAGCCAAGGCCGAAACCCAAAATGAGAATTTCTCAAAATAAGTAATCTCTATGTGCTCCTCAGGTTGGTTCCTCCTTGTTCCCTGCATCCTTATCTCGAGGATCACGAGAGGCAACCTGTTTCGAGAAACTTCACATGAACACCGAGTGCCGCCAGTAATTGTCAAGCGGCCCAAGTTGGATTTCTTCGAAGCTTTGGAGAGGGGCTTCTCAACAGCTTTCAGGATAAAGTTGCTTCCGTACGGCACCTGGACGAAAGTCACGTGCTCGCTGTGGTAGTAGTCGTCATGGACATACCTAATGCTGCTTTCGCCCGCTTCCAAATCAGTTCATGCTCCACAGCCTCCCGGTACCTCTCCTCCACATGTGTCCAAGGCACATCCAAGAAGAGTCTGTGTCTCGATTCATTGCCTGCTTCTAACATACTCCTCTCACAACATAGGAGGCTGGACTGCACGGTCAGGCTCCGGCCGAAGAACACGAAACGTACCCAGCTTGTGCAGAAACACCACCAGTCAAGGAAGACCAGAGCGTGTTGGGGTCACCACCTCAAGAGTAGAGGCAACTTGCTCAGTTCTTTCATTAGCTTTACCTTTGTTGAAACCGAGCCACGCGAGCCCACGACTCGAATCCAGAATGGCACCTTTGTACTCAAAGTTGTGGATGATCCCGATTCAGCGCCCTCCGCCTGCCCGGGAGCCCAAAAAAGGGAGCCGAACTTCTAACTTCGCTGAAGCTGCGCTGAACAAAGGCCAGCCTCGGAAGCCCACGTGTTATGCATTCCGGCAGTCTGCGTCTGCCAGACAATGACGGGGGCACCATTCTGCAGCTTGCCATCCTTCACATTCAAGTCAAAGTTCGGCTTGTCCGCAAGCCTGAGAAGGTATTCGCAAACTGGGACAGATTCCACGCGGCGCCCCGCAATTACCAGGCAGAGTTCTCATCTGCAGCAAGGGAGCGTCAGCATCCCATTGGTATTCCAACGCCACTGGTTGAAAGGCTCCTCGAACACAGTGCTCATGATACCAAGGAATGGCGAATTTGTGTCATCCACATTCATCCACGTCTGAACCAACTCTGATTGCATCGAAGGCTCGGGCTTACCGTTGTGTGGTCGAAGGACTACCGAGCTGCCGTTGTGCACCGACCCCTCGACTGACAAAGCCATGTCAGGCTTTAATGCAAAAAGGATCAGGCCATCCGGACGCACGATCCAGTCATGACCTTGGCATGCAAAACCTCTGAAAACCACCGAACAGCTGCCTTTGTTGTGCGGCCGCAGAGCCGTGGTGCACACCACCAGTCTCCATTATCACGACCTGGCAAACACTTCGTCATACAACCCAGAGCCAAGACGAAAGAAGCTTCACTGAAGTTGGAGAATTGCCAAAGCGGACAGCGCGGCAATGCGCGGCACCTGCTGGCCCTGGACAGACAAAGAATACTGTGGAGACCTAGGCTCGGTCAAAGCTCGATGAGACGCGTTCTCCAATTAGCATTCCAGATGAACTTCTGCACGTGAGTTTGTCATTCAACATCGAATTCTGGAGGTGTCGAGCGACTTGGCCAGCCATATTGGATGTGCTTCCTGCAAAGTGTGCTCTGCGTGCAGAAAGCAGCTGCAGGTTGTCCAGGCTCTGCCAGCTTTGCTCAGTCCTTCTGCGAAAGCCCAATCCAATCCTGGACTCCTGGCCGCGAACACAAGGCAGGCTGAAATATGCTGACTAAAGACGAGAATCCCTGCCTTTGAGCACGTCCCAACTGTCACCGCGGCCTCTTGCCAAGTGCCCAAGTCCAAGTGCCCGACTGTTGGATTTCACTGCACATTCGCGGTCACACAACAGCTGAAGCTTGACCCGTAATTGGATCTGTACTGCATAGTGCTTCTACGAAGTAAGAAAACTCCACAGGCGGTACGTCGAACATCCCACCCTTGCCTGTTTGCTCTTGCGGGGCATCATCAACTACTTCCAGCAAAAATTCGGAGCATGTATCAGCAATGTTATTCTAAAACCTGGGGACATGACAACTCTACATTCTTGGTTTTTGGATAGTGATGCTCTGACGTTGGGCGCTTCAGGATACCTGCAGCTGGGCACAGGGAGAGATTGGGGTACTGCAGGGAACTTCGGAGAACCTGTGGGGAACTTTGAGTTGAGCAGGATACCCCGAGTTGGGCGCCCTTCTGCCTTTGGGCACTGCAGGAAAGGAGACTCCAGGGTTGGGCCCGGCAAAGGGAACTCTGGTGTTGAGCGGTTGTGAATAACATTCTGGCTTGGGCAACGCAAACTTTGGGGCGTTGCAGGGATACTCTGAGGTTGGGCACTGCATTGGTATTCTACTTTTGGACGCTGCAGGGATACTCTGAATTTGGACACTGCCTGGATACCCTGCAATTGGGCACTGCAGGGATACTCTACGGTTCGGCGTCGGGTTGGGCACTGTGGCACTGCTGGCAAACTCTGCAGTTGGGCATCCAGGAAGCCACCTGGCAAGAGCGCCGCTTTGTGGTAGCCATGGTGGAAGTCCACATTAACCTGCCCGGCAAAACGTTTTTTGTGCATCCCAAGGCCCCTTCCAGCATTCCCCCGCCCCTGGTTTGTCTTGCTGGATTATCCTGCCGTGCGCTGGCTAGCGTTCAGTGGGCAGCTGAAGGCAGCGAAACCTTGTCCATCACGGCGCCTGTGCCTATTCCAAGACTCGGCAGGACAGGGACTGCTCCAAAAGCACATCCAGCGGGCATGAGGCACAGTGGCGTTAACCCGAAAGCACCAAAACGCCAAAAGCCTACCCACGCGTTTGCGTGACCAGCTGCGGAGAACAAGCTAGAATTTCAGCTGGCACTGAGGACCAACGGCGCCTGTGTCCTTTGGGCGAGGCTGTCCCATGCGTTGCAAAAGCTGGGGTAAGGCCAATACAGCACTCCTCTAACAGAAGATGCCCCCATTTTCTATGTCAGAAAGAAAGCGGACGCTTGTAGTGACGTCGTCGTCGTAGTAGTAGTAGTAGCAGTAGTAGTAGCAGTAGAAGTAGAAGTAGTAGTAGTAGTAGTAGTAGTAGTAGTGGTGGTGGGCGTCCCCTTCCTACCAACTATGTATCTATGTTGGTTGATATTTCACTTTGGGGGTGGGGGCGGAGAGGGTGGGGGAGGGTGAGGACAATTGCGTATAAACGGACCTCAACCAATCAACTTCCCCCAAACTTAATGCCT